CTCCTTCCTTCCTTCTTCCTTCCTTCCTTCCTTCCTTTTTTGCTGTATTTAGTTCTGATATGTTTTGTTTTATCTGGTCACTGACCAAAATATTCTCTCCCTCCCTTGGTCTCTCACTCTCTCTCTCTCGTGTAAAATTCTGCAAACACCTCTGGGTTTATTCAGAGACCAAAAATCAATACTCACTGGTAACTTCAGAAGCAAGATAGGTGGGGATCCCTTTGCAAAAAGTTTGCAACTGCTTCCCATATATGGACAGGTCTGTGATCTTCTTGGGGGAGACGTTGAAGGAGGCCTCCTTTGGGGCAGCCCCTTTTCTAGGATCCTTCTAAAGGAGAGGAGAACAACAGGGCAGTGTTTCAAGATGGATGCCCCGGACAGCGTGCAGTCAAGTGGTGAAGAGGGACCAGGGAGGCTGTGGTTTCATGCCACTCTTTATACCCGAGCTCAAGCAAACCCTTTACTAGCCATCTGTAAAAGCAAATTCTCCCTTATCAATATAGACAAACCAGGGGCATCTGCAGGGGACGATGACAACAATAGAGATGGTTTCTTTTTGGCTTCCATTATTTCTATTCTGGTTTGGCCATCTTACTGGGTTTTTAAAAAATTATTATTATTTAAATTGGCTGTTTTTATGGTAAGTTGCCAAGAGTCAGTTGAGTATAAATTTGATGCAATGGAATGGAATGGAATAGAGAGAAGAGAAGAGAAGAGAAGAGAAGAGAAGAGAAGAGAAGAGAAGAGAAGAGAAGAGAAGAGAAGAGAAGAGAAGAGAAGAGAAGAGAAGAGAAGAGAAGAGAAGAGAAGAGAAGAGAAGAGAAGAGAAGAGAAGAGAAGAGAAGAGAAGAGAAGAGAAGAGAAGAGAAGAGAAGAGAAGAGAAGAGAAGAGAAGAGAAGAGAAGAGAAGAGAAGAGAAGAGAAGAGAAGAGAAGAGAAGAGAAGAGAAGAGAAGAGAAGAGAAGAGAAGAGAAGAGAAGGCAACTTTTACCCATAAGTAGAATAGTACTATTACTTTTTGAGACTGTGTAGACCAAACTTGGAAACCACAGACACCAAGCCTACTTCCTCCTGTTCCTCAAGGCCATCCCTTCTTCCCATTACAGAGTGCCTATGGCATCTTTATTTACTTCTCAGGGTGTCCACATACATTGCATGACTCACATAAAAAAGCCTGGGTCATCAATTACACAATCAGAATGACCACCTTGACTTTTTTACCCTCCCTCCCCAGAGACACCTTTCTGCTTGCTTGTAAATAACAGTGATGGGCAGAGACTGATGTTTGCTTGACATCAAGGCAGAGTTTTCAGTTTTGAAACGGAAGGTGTTGGGACAGGATGCTTGACAGGCACCAAGGGAGGGGTGTGGGTATGCCCCCCGGTGCTTATAGGTACCCTCTTGCTGGCCCCAGGTGGATCTACTTCCTAGATCTTCGTATCTTTACCTGCTTTTCCCGGATGATTTTGGGAAGAGTGGTTAGATCTGGCATGATCTGCTTATTCATTCTGGAGATGAAGCAGGACTTCTTGGAAAATACCCGGACTGCCATGAAACCCTATCAAAGCAAAACAGAAGCAGAAAAATGGCAAAAACTCTGAAGAATCTGACGCTGGGGAAGAAACAGCTACTTTCCTGAGCCTTCCCATTAAATCACAAGGTCTCAGTTGGGTCCAGCTTGCCCTGTTTTTATTGGAGGTGGTGAGACAATGAAGCTACAGGATCTAAAAGCTGCAGCAAACTGTGCCTTGCCTTGACAAGGTGCACCATTCATGGAAGCAAAGCTATTTATTCACCCCATTCCTGAAAGTTCCTGAAGAGGCCACTAGTGCGACTTGAAATGAAGCAAGGGAGAGGCATTTTGGTGTAATGGTTAAAGGCACCAGGCTAGAAACCAGCAGAGGGTGAATTCTAGTCCAGCCTTAGGCGTGGAAGCCACTGGCTGGCTTTGAGCCAGTCCCTCTCTCAGCCCAACCCACTTCACAGGGTTGTTCTTTGGAAAATACGCTGCCTTGACTTCAACAACAGTAAAGGTGGGAATAAACAATTCTGTAGCTGTAGCTTTGCATCTTTAGAAGCCGGGGCCATTCAGCAGCCTACCAGCTTTGAAGCAAAGCTTTGCATATGCTTACAGCACCATGCTGGAAGAGGAAGGTGGGCAAGGGGAGATTCTTCTCAAGGTTGTCCATTGGACTGAATGGGACAGTGGGAAGCCCAGGAGGCTGTAGATGCTGGAGAAGATTGCGCAATAGGGAAAGACCAGCCCTCAACTACATTGTGACTTCAGTACATGTAAGAACTTCACACCATCCAGGACAAATTCTCTTTTGGACACTAGATGAAGTCAAAACATAAAAGCATGGGCTTCTTACAGTCTGGTAATCCATGACGGAGCTCCAAGAATTCCAGCCATTGCTATTGTCTATGTTCACCACCTGCCTTTTATGGTCAATGTTCACAGTCTGATGTGAATTTCCTCCAACATCTTCCTGGTGGTTTTGAATTATGTTCTTGGGTAAGAAAGATAAGGAACAAGTGTTGAAAAATCTGTTCTTGTGTTCATGAAAAATACAATATAAGATAGGATGGACTCCAGTTGATACCAGGGAGAGATATGGCTACAGGTCTGCTAAACCATTTTTTTTTTTTTTTGAGACTTTGGAAGAATATTGTTTAGAACTTCCAGAACTGTGGTTTATCTTTTCTCATTCACAGTTGGGCAAATTAATCAGCCAGCCTAGGGCTTAAGAATAGAAGCCCACAGCTTGTTGAAAAGCACGACTTCGATAAGAAAGTGTTATTTTTATTTCTTTTAAACATTTTTATCCTACTTTTCAGCTTAGAAACATTCAAAGGGGCTTTGCCAAGTGTTGCGACGGTGGGAAAAACACAGACATGGCCCCCTTCAGCCAGATCTTTGAAGGTGTAATTGCAGCAATTGAATGGACACTGCAGATGACTTTATCTTTGGAGATTGTTTCCAATTTCATTTTTCAAAAAACAAAAGTAAAATCAAATTGCTTTCATTAGAATGAAAACACATTTGTTTGCAATAATACTGTACCATGGTACTTACATTGTCGGTCAAAACTGGGGGTAGGAAAACTCCCAGAAACGCAACACTTAGAATCTGAAATGGATTTCAAAAACATATTGGCAATCAGATCGATAGATCGATAGATCGATAGATAGATGATAGAAGATAGATAGATGAGAGAGATGATAGATAGATAAGAGATAGATTGATAGATGATAGATAATAGATAATAGATAGATATACAGTAGATCATTTAGAAATGGAGGCAGCAAATCATATTGCCTAGTTCAACACTTTACACCCTGATTAAATTGTCACGTATAATTGCTGTGCCTAATCCCTTTACAAATACAAAGCATTGGATTGGAGTTCATGTTCCAAGCAAGGTTACATTTGTGCCCGTTTACGTCAGGCATCAGAGATTCCGGTAGCATTTTCAAACAGAAACGGATCAATTAGCTATGCTTTCCTGCAATCAGATTCACCAGCTCACAATCTCACTGGTCCCCTCTTGCTCTCCAAAGGACAACTCATAGGTCATTTCAGGAGGAGCACTCTGGGCCACCTGAGATTTAGCATGGGGATGTCACATGTGCGAACACGTGCAGGTGACAGTAAGGAGCAAGGAAGAGGCAAGTCTTCCAGGCTGATTACAATCTTCAATCCACGGTGTGAATGATTATTTTCAGCTCATGTGTCCTGATTCCCACCAGGAGATACTTGGAACTGTCCTTCCCTCTGTGAAAAGATTAACCATCTCTCCTCATGAATTAATAGTCCTCTCCCAACCAGCTTTCCCCCCCTTGTTCCTTCACCTATAAATTGGGTATAGCTGCAATGTCCCACTACAGACTATGCATGATGGACTTTGCTATTACCCTAGAAGATTTCAAGATAAAGCAGCATCTTCAGCTACCTGGTTAACGATCAGGCACCAGGGTTTCAAGCAGAAAATTAAAGATGTCTATACTTACAATTAGCTTCATTTTGGCACTAGAAGAAATGCCAAGACTAGCCAAAGCCGAACCCGTCCACTTTATATAGCAGTATTTCCAAAGACTGAGATATGGCACGGTATCTCCTTGCAATGGTTTGCCCTTTGGCTGGCATGGGATACGTTTGCCAAGGAAACAGGTTGACACCTTACAGATAAGCTGAACCAGATAAACATATCTTCAGTACACATGGGCAGGATCCGTCATTTTAAAAATGTTTAATTAAGCTCAGGTATAATCCCAGAAAATAAACACAATTTTCAAAATATGGGTGGACGTAAAAAATGGATTTACTCCCCATGGTGTCTGAGGATGGGACCAGAACCAACAGGTCAAAGCTTTAAAGAAAGAGATCCAAACATGAGGAGGAACACTGTGTCCATGAGAGCTATTACACAATGGAGCAGCTGCCTCCTGGAGTTATGGGGGCTCCGTCACCACAGGTCTTCAAAGAAAATTTGGATAGCCCTTTGTCTGGGATGGTCGGAGGATTCTTGTCAGGGCAGGAGCTGGACCAGATGACCTCCAGTCCTATGATTCTAAAATCAACCCCTGTGCCTTACTTGTAAGTCCCTCTGAAATGTAGCTGGAACTCTCTTTTTTAGAAAAAGAAACCCAGATTTAAATATGTGTTTAGTATGAACAGGTTAGTCAGAGGGTATTCAGAATGATCCTTTAGAGCTGGGGTTGGTAACGTGCACTTGACCCACTCCTGCTTAGGCTTTGCTGTTGGCTGGGAAGGAAATCACTCTTTCCCATTCAAACAGCATTGTGCATGTGAGTGGCAAATTGTCAGGATTATACATTATGCTATCTCATTATTTGTTTTTAATCATGGTTTATTGGCTATCCTATAATTGGCTGGATTCACATATCATACTAAGTCAGAATTCATGGTTTACAAATTATGTTGAATGGATTCACTCCATAAGCTAATCCTATTCCAGTTCATCTAACTGGAAGGTGAAAAATCTGGTTCAATGGCTCAGTGTTGTGTTTGACCACTTCCAGTCTTTGTTTAGTTCAAAACATGTGCTCTGTTAAAAAAGGAAGCATCAAAAAAGTCTAAAAATGGTGTTCACACATTGTATGAAGCCACTGCTTTCTTAACCATGGTTTATTGTATAAACTACCATTGGCTGGGTTTGCACCATATGCGAAGCCATAAACTGTGATTTACAGACCACGACGCCTATGTTCAGACCACAAGATAAGCCAAACCAAACAAGAACCTTTTGACCCACCATACTGTACTTGTATAAACCCAGCTAAAGGGTGGTCATCTGCATGGAGATGTTATTGATTTAAGCATCCAAGAGTTGCAAACCTCAAGCTGCATCAATAGACAGGCTGGAACTGCAAGCTGGAACTGTCACAATTCTCTTCTGCTCTCACGGACCTGAAAATTAACCTATGATTGGACTGACATAGGTTCAAACTCTGTTTGTCAGTGTGGTGCCAGTTGGGGTGTCCACAGAATATGGTCCAAAAAGTCAAGATGGTGGTCAAAATGGAGCCATTGAAGCTCTACCTGTTTTTTATGTGCATCTTAGGCAGAGCTTTGATTGCACCATCTTGACTTTCTGGGGCATAGCCTCTGGCAGGGCCTCCTTGAAAAAAACAAAGTCCTTAAGGCTGAGCTTTTCACAGGATGCACCCCTTTGGAATTTTGGGAGGATAAACCCCATCGAACATTGCAAAGATGAGGCTGCTTCAGTTTCTGATGGAAGAACCTGCTTCTAGCTTAAATGACTAGAGTACAGCAGATATAAAAGCCAAGTATTTTTTATATCACCGCCCATCTCATTGAAATGACTCTGCGTGGTTTACAGCAAAGATAAAATCAATTAAATGCAATATAAAAACAATCTTAATAATAAATAAATTCCAAGAATGATGGAGAATTGGCGAATAACTCAGGGAGCATCATCAAATGTGAACTTGTTTGTCTGTTGCCTTCTTTGGCTTCCTCTCCTTGCTAAAACCATGCACGGTTTGGAGACCCCTGGCTGGTGAGCAGGGACCTTCCAAGGAGGCCAATTAGAAGGAGATTTCGGTCACACAACACATACCTAACCTGTGGAACTCATTTCCACAAGACATGGTGATGGCCACTGACTTGGAAGTCTTTCATGGGGATTGTTAGATGCATGGATGACAGGTCTGTCAAAAGCTCCTGGTCTTGAAGATTCAACATAATTCCAGATTTGGGGCAGCAGAGCTCCAAATACCACTTGCAGGGAAACAGTGGCAGGAAAGGAGAACATCTCCCATCTTGTTTTCTGGATGACCACTCTGAGAAACAAAGAATTTGCCTAATCCAGAAGAGCTATTCTAATCTCTGGGAACTGCCATCAGCTTTCTTTGAGACAGGAATAGTTTTGTGGTCTACCCTGAGAGCTCCTGCAGTGGAGGGTTATATATGGGGGTTTGGCCAGTAAGGCTCAAGAACCCCTCTAAACGTGGCCACAGTTGGGTGAGTTTAGGCCAATCACTTTCTCCCAACCCAATCTATTTTACAAAGTTGTTATTTAAGGGGAAAATGAGGAGATAACCCATGTATGCTGCCTTGGGTTCCCAGACAAAGGGTGAGATACAAACGCAATGAATAATAGATTAAAGAGTAAATTAAATCATATGAAATCTGACAATTATATTTCTCAATGTTAGGAAGAGAGGGTCTTTTTCCATTCCTTTCTTACAGATTCCAATGAATGGAAGAAGGGAAGATCCTCTCTGGTGCTTGGCACAAATACAAAATATTATGTTCTGCTAAGCTAGATAGCAATTTGAAGGGAAAAAACCTATATTGTTATTGGACATAATAGGATTCTCTCTGAATGAGTTCAGAGTTAGGGCAGAATAAAAGACTCATTCCAATCCACTAGCCGGGAGTGTCCAACCTTTGGGGAGGCAAGTAAAAGAGGTTACACTTCCTTGAGTCAGGGACATCAGTGCAAAAGGGGGTAGGAGCATATAAAAAGTCTTTAAACACTAATTAAATATTATGGATTTTGCTTTTAACTATTTAACTGTTACATTTGAACACAGAGAGAGACCTGTAGTGATCACATCTTTTCACATCTCAAGGGTTTCAAATAAATGAAGCCTTAGAATTGACTATGAAGATATTGAAGTGGTGGAGAGCTTCTGCCTTTTAGGATCAACTATCAACAGTAAAGGAACAAGCAGTCAAGAAATACGCCAGACTAACAATTGGTAGAGTAACCATGAAGGCCTTGGAAAAGATATTCAGACACCGAGATATGTCTATACCTAAAACAGTGGTATTCCATGTGATGCTCTATGGAAGTTGGACTTTGAAGAAGCAGGAAAGGAAGAGTATTGGTGCCTTTGAATTCGGTGTTGGAGAAGACTTCTGAGAATACCATGGACAGCCAAGAAAACAAACCGATCATTGAACAAATCAACCTGGAGTTCTCACTTGAGGCCCAAATTATCAGGCTCCAGTTATCTACTTTGGACACATTATGCGAAGACTCAGCTCTCTGGGCTATGATGCTGGGAAACATGGAAGGAAAGAGAAGAAGAGGACGACCAGCAGCAACAGGGATGGATTCAGTTACAGTGGCAACAGGGGCACCATTGGAGGAGCTGAAAGACCAGCTTGGGGACAGATCATCATGGACAAAATCTATGTGGTCAGCAATGACATAATCAATCAATCATGTGAGCAGAACTATCCCAAGTTATTGTACCTTCCCATATGTTTAACCGGGTCATATAAAAGCCTGATGGTGCCATTCACACAACCTTGGTTAGTATTAACTCTGGTTAGGTTTTATGTGGTTTAGGGTTTTGTGACAGCCCAACCCATGCCTTCTGTGTTTTATGTAAATGATTGGAAGGGGTCAACACTGTACCCAGTTAAGCGTGTTGTACGAAAGCAACCACAGACTTGCACACTCATAAGCTTCATATGCAGAGAAGAAGGTGGAACGAGGTTGAGAGAGGCAGTGGGAATGGTGTGGCGGGATTGTTATCAATGGGTAACAGAACTTGAGGGCTCTTTGGGGGCCTCACCTGATTCCTGGCAGCCTGTCTGGGGCAGTGATCCATCCTTGCCCCTCTTTAGTTATAACCCAGAAGTCCTCACGTTTCTCTTTTTTCACTTACTGTTGACCCCATTTGTGCTGCTAAGCAAAATTTAAGCCAGAAAGACTTTTTCTGATATCAAAAATATATCCAAGCAACTGTGGAGTCCTTGGGGTGGGTGGTTTGCTTGCAAACGCTTCGTTACCCCACTAGGTAACATCTTCACGGTTCAACCCTGAGCTACATATATTTGCCTCCATTGATATCCAAGCAATCTGGAAAAGATTAATTGATATTTGCAAAATGACCGATATGGAATCGTGCCCAGATGACTAATGTGCTCAGAAATATCAGGGCCTGGTTATCTGCCCAGCCCCAACATTCAGATAAAACCATTTACCAGGGTGTGTCCCCCAGATACGAGCCACCAGGTCCCCAGGGCAGATTTCTGTGCAACGTTCCCCACACATACAGGACAGATATAAATGTTCAATGCTTCTGGAATTTTATTTCACTTGCATCTCAGCCTCTTATCTGGAAGAAAAATGAACAGGCTTGTGAGTACCGTATATTTGACACATTCTTCTTTTAAAACGCTGGAAAATATTTAGAGGCAGTTGTGGATTGCCTAGGTAAGGATGAGAACTCTTAAGGGAGTGAAACAGATGTTCTCCTGTGTTGGTGAGCTTGGGAAGAGGAATGAAAGCATGTTTTGCCAGAACATCCCCTGAAGGCCGTTGGGAGAGCTTACCTTAGCACAAGACTAGTTTCGAATGTACTCAGCAGTAGAAGGAGTTTCTATGGGGAACAGTGAGAAAATGTTCAAATAGCCTTTGGAGGTTCCAAAGTTAGCAATGGCTCACAACTTTTTGATTTCTGAAACTCTAAAGGACCACCAGTCTCTTGTGAACTGGTCTGGTGTACAAGCTAATCTGATGTATCTTTTGCTGAAGCCCCATTATTATACTTCCCGTTCACACATGTCTTGGAAAGTATACACCGTTTTGAGTGTGCAATGGGACATGCGAGTCACACTTTGATTTAGAGCTCAGGGTGGCTTACCTGCTGGCATGCAGAAAGTTCGGCTTTCACTCCTTGCTATCTCCAGCCGGCTCCTGCGTGGAAAGCCACACAGCCAGGAGACATCAGCAATATGGACCAGAATAAGGAGAAGGGTGCTCTGTGTGTGCTGGTAGCAAACTTTGGAAAAGTGTGGTCTCCAAAAGTAACTGGGTTCTGTAGAAGAATGCAAATTAGGCTAGTTTGAAGTTAAATTCTTCAGACATTTCTGCATAGATATGGGCTTCCTTCGGGGTGGACCTTCATCATTCAGATGGGGCTGCTCTCCTTCTGACCACTACCCTTGATGGCACTCCAAACATCGGAGTCCAGTTTGGGAGAATTAGCTCTGGCTGCAAAGATTTCTGCAGCTTTATGGGACTTTAGAGCTTCCCCTACCCCAAATTCACTGCCATCAACCAGATTCAATCCTGATTTTTTTTCCTTTTTGTTTCCTTCTTTTCCAGGCTGTAGTATTAATTGTGCTGGGATTCTTCTGGAATGCAGCCTTTGCTTCCCTCCAGGTAATAATCTCTGCTTTACAATGACCAAAACATTCAAAGGTGAAACCAAGATCATCTTTTTCTCTTGCAAAATCATGGAAATATTCAGTGGACACCCAACTATAAAGCTTTAAAACAGGGATGGGCATGTCATCTAGACCTATTTTTTAGAGCAGAACTCCTAGACTGAGCTCTGAAAATTGATGGCAAATCACTTATTTTCTGTGGCATTCTTTTCAGAATGTAAGGCTCAAAATACATGCATTTACCTTGTTATAGCTTTAATGTGCTGGGTTTTTTTGTTTCTTGTAAAATGGGCTGATAATTTCTCTTTACACACCGCTGCAGCCCTTGAAGACATCCAGCCTCAAAGGCTTCCTATTCTTAATAGATACATGGGGCTAGATTGAAAGAAATAAAGAAAAAATCCTGCAATCTAATCTCATTTGTAGTAGAAGCATTCCTGGTTGCCGAGATGTCTGACGTGAAAATAGATTGTGCAACCTTTGAAATGGAGAGGTTCGTTTCAAGCCCAGTCCTTGGTGCTGGTTTTCATCCTTCAACCTGAAACGGTGCTTAAGGAACGTCTTCCTTGGCATGACCTCCCTCAAAATGAAGCTTCGTTAATGTCCTCCAGGATCAAGGTTCTCACAACAATGGCACCAAACTTTTAGGAGACTTTTTCCAGATTGGTTCAGCTGAGGCCAACGCTGAAAGACAGCAAGTTAAAACCAGGTTCTTTGAAAAATTAGCTGATATTTGTCCTTGATTCCATTCCCATCCTGCAAGAGGATATGTTTTCACCTTCTACTGATATTTTCCATTCTTGTTAGAGTTCATGAATTGTTTGTTGTAATATATTTTGGCTTACGGTTTCACAGTTTTGATTTGTGGAAGCTAGGGTATTATTTTGTAATAAATCACACAGATTATTTTTAAAGCTAAAGCAAATTCATATATTTCTCAAAACACACACACGCATAGCTGCAGAATCATTGCACTGGGGAATAGCAGCTCTAGTTTGGTCCAGTTGATGTGGGTTTGGGATAACAATCCACAGGAGGGAGGTAAACATGAATTAATAATAAATTAACTTTTCTGAGTTGTGCATTGTAATATACATGATACTCTTAATGAATATCGCCATTCCTTGTTGATTCTATGTCTCTCAGAGCTGTTTTGGCATTGAGCAGCATAGAAATACCAGTAATAAATGAACTGAATGCATGAATGAATGATTAATCACTCTGTCTATTCTATGGAAGAGAATGCATTCTTCTTATTAGCAGAAAAATGTGCAAAAGTTTCAGAAAATCATGTTAGCTGTAAGGAAGCTTGGGGAATAAATAAGATTATCTCCCATCATGTAAGGCGAGTGGCTACATATTTTACATGTTAATATGTATATGATGGGTGGTGACATATTTGATAAATAAACAAACATTTAGTTTTATTTAGTAGATGTTTGGCTGTTTGCTTTACGGTATGATATTTTGGTCAAAGACCATCAATCAGTCAGTCCCATCTTATCTAAACCAATTCGCACACGTCTCTTGGGTTCTGCATTTCACTTTAGATGAAAAGTAAACACGTGCCCTCTCTCATGCTCAGGTTTACAGCATCCCAAGCCTCAACGGCGATTACATCCAGCAGTCCGTGACCATAGACAATGAGAAGAAAATAGCCATCATCCATATCTACGAGGGAGCCTGCTCTTCTGATACAATTTTTGACTATAAGCATGTAAGTGTGAACCCAGTCCTTTCAGCACTCACCCTGTCAGCGCAAGAAGAACATGGCCATACTCAGCTAAAGAGCCTCAACCGTTCTTCTGTGTCATCCCTTTCTGAGCAAAAGACATGAGTCTCTTTTCACTCATCATTACATCAGCCTGCCCCAGTCTCAGGCCCTCCAGAAGTCTTGGAACCGCAAGTCCCAGAATTCCTAGGTGGAACAAGTAATGGAACTGGAGGGACCCAAGCTATAACACTGATAGCCAGAATTTTAGCTTAACACCTTTTCCTCCACAGTATTTATTTGATCAGTGTGCCTATTGATGCATCTATTTAAAATAAGATGGTTTGGAACAAAGGCAGAGAACAAACATTAGAAGATGGTGGAAACCATTTGAGCTTCTTTCAAGACTATCCCATGTTACAAGGAAAGTCTGTTATCACTGTAAGTTGTAAAATAAGGGTAGTTTGACACTGAGCATCCAGCTTAGCCTTCAAGAAGCATCCTCTAGCCCAGCACCCTCCAGGTCTCTTGGACTTCCAAAACACTCACTTAGGATGGCTTCTAGATAGAGACTGTGGGAATTGAAACCAAGATGGCTTGCAGAGTGCTGAAATCAGAGGCATCAGCAGGAGTTCAAAGAAGTCAAGATGGCAGTTGAGGTCACCAGCTTGACTTTTTTGACCTAGTCAGTCTGAAATGACCCATCATGTCTACTAGGTTTTGACCAGAGACCAGTCCTCACAACAGGCCCAGTTACTTGTTTTGTGTACCAAAGTAGAACTTTCTGAGATTGGGAAAAACACAACAGAAAGGTAGCAACTGCTAACTGGAATGATGGACACTAAAACTGCAGCTTCCAGATGAAACTAATTGCTCGGTAGATGCTCGCTTTATTCATTATCAATGCATAAGAGTGAGGGGATAGACTTTCCAGTAAAATATTAATTTATGAGGATAAGTAGGATGTTGAAAAGGATATAAATGTTCCTTATAAAATTGATGAGGTTTAAATTGTCCTCACAAAGCTTTGGTGGCGGGGACTTCATAAACAGTCCCTCCATGTCCCTTCTGCACATTTTAAATTCCAATATCCAATAAAGTTTTACGGCACTTATCCATCTCCTTCTGGAATAACAGGGATATATCGCCATGCGGTTCTTTTCTCGACGAGCTTGCTTTGTCATGAAGATGGAAAAAGGCTACATTCCGGAAATAGATGTAATTGGACGGTTGGCTTATGAGAGACAGGTAACTGTTGGGTTCGTTTCTGGGAGAGATTGTGGGGAGGCTGGGAAAGGAATGGAAGAGAGAGTTGAGCCAAACCATCAAAG